CTGTTTTTTTAATACAGTTTTGTTCATCAGGAGTTTCTGAAAGCATAGATGGCCAGTCAAAGCAACTCAGGAGAATCAAAGATGAAAAGACTAAGTTAAAGGTAAAAGTGATTATATTGTTAGATTCTAAATGCATGTTGCTGCTGCTAAGACGATCACTTGTGAACGCAGAATTTGGAAGACAACTATGAGAGGACTCTTCAGGATGAAGCCAAAGAGCTAGAGCAACTTTTGAGTAAAAGAAATATGTTTCTTGCTAAACAAGAAGAATACTCAAAGAAAATCAGGGAATTGGGCCCATTGTCTTCAGATGCTTTTGAAACGTATTGCTTCTGTCCATACTTTGAATTATTTTACCTAATAATTAATATTAATATTTTATGCACACACTATCTGGAATTTGTTCAGGTCTCCAAATTCTCATAAATCTATTTGGGTATTTTGTGGTTTTGTTATTTGTTGATACCATTTGCACCCTTTAGATTTTTTTACCACTTCTGCCAAGATTTGAACCTAAAAAACTATTTCCACCACCTGTTACTTGAGCCAGAGCTGTTATGTTTGGATCCTTTTGGCTATTAATCTGTAACTCAACCTCTATTATGAAAGTTCATCATTGATGCATGATGTTGGCTAGGTTCTTTTTTTTTTTTTTTTTTTTCCTTCTTACGTCAAGATGTAACAGTCGGGTAGGTTGGTATTTATTTGTTCTCTTCTACTGGAAAATGGTAGGTATAAGCGAAGGAGTATCAAAGAATTGCATAAAATGCTGCACAGATGCAGTGAGCAGCTGCAACAATTTAGTCATGTCAACAAGAAAGCACTTGATCAATATGTAAATTTTACAGAACAACGAGAAGAACTCCAGAAAAGGCAAGCTGAGCTGGATGCGGGTGATGAGGTATCAAGCTGTGAGATCTGTTGTATTGAGTTGGTGTTTTCATTAAATGGTTCGCTAAGATTTGGTTATTTTGACATGACTTCTTCGAATTTTGCAGAAAATTGGAGAACTTATACAGGTTTTGGATCAAAGGAAGGATGAATCAATAGAACGTACTTTTAAAGGTGTTGCTAGGCACTTTCGAGAAGTTTTCTCAGAACTTGTGCAAGGTGGCCATGGTTACCTTGTTATGATGAAGAAAAAGGTTTATTGTTGGACTGGATTCTTTATAGTTAATCATAAGATGTGTGGACTTATCTTGATGCTTTGTGTTTATTGGTTCAGCATCTGCTGAAGGAATATATTATTTATATAGCTGTTAGATGAGTGGCCTGAGATGTTTGAGACTCAGACCCATCTAAGTGTTCTTTTAGAAAATTATTTTTGGTTTCCGTTAACAAGAACATAATAAACGTTTCCCATTCTATTAATTTTCATCAAAAGAGGAGAGGCATAACTAGATTGAGTATCTAGGTATCGTCTTCTTGAAAGTTATTTATTTTAAATGCGTAGATAAGATTCATATGATTTTACTTGAATATGTGTATTGTATCCACAGGATGGTCACCAAGGTGATGATGATCAGGATGAGGATGGACCACGTGAAGCGGATTTAGAGGGAAGAGTTGAGAAATATATTGGTGTAAAAGTGAAGGCACGTATTTTCTGCAGTTTCCTTTGCTAAAAACTAATGCCTCCACTATTGTTTGTCCAAGCTATTCAGATTTGAGGGTTTAGATGTGCCCTCGGTATAAAGTGGGGTAAAAGATCTCCCTGAGGTATCCAAAAAACAAAAATTAGAAAAAAAAAAAGAAAAGAAAAGAATGGGCAAGTAGAATTTGTAATTTAATAATTTATAAGTGGGATTTGAGGGTCTACATGTGCCTTTGGGGATAAGTGGGGTAAAATATCTCCCTGAGTTATTAAATAAAATAAAAAAAGTGGCAAGCAAAACTTGTAGCTGAATTATTGATAATTTACTTAGAAAAATGATGTGCTCCTTTTGTGAGACTGCAAGTTAAACCCAGCCTTACAATACTGTCAAATTTTACAAAATAAATGTTATGATGTTTTCAGTTGAAGGTTGTAAATGCTTTTTGAATTGCTCTTTTTTGGTTCCTTGTGGCAGGTTTCTTTTACCGGACAAGGGGAAACTCAGTCGATGAAGCAGTTGTCTGGGGGTCAGAAAACTGTTGTTGCGCTAACGCTTATCTTTGCCATCCAGCGATGTGATCCTGCTCCCTTTTATCTTTTTGATGAAATAGATGCAGCACTGGATCCTCAATACCGAACAGCTGTTGGAAGTATCCTTTATGTCGGTTTCTTGTTCTTTGTTGTGTTTTGTTGCTTTCTCACAATATTAAATTGTTTTTCACTGTCATTCAAGTATAATATATGCCACAGAAGCATTCATATGCCAGCCAAGAAGTGTCTCCATGTTGGTCCAATGTGTGTCTCCATTTGTAGTTGTAATTGTCAACCTCCTTTCCAACGATTAATCTGCATAAATGGTTATTGCTTTATGGGTAGCAAGTTTGTCTATTTGCTTGCATGTGTCTTCATAATTATGATTTATTCGTGAGGGTTGTATGAAAAAGAAAATATAAGACTTCTATGTAATTTGATTGGATATTTGGTGTATTGAGTTCTAGATGACAGGATTAATTTGAAATACAGTTTCTGTTAACTGTCGGTGCCTTGTGAGTGTTTGTTCATTTGCATATGACGATATTTGGCTTTTTCCATATTCAGAATGCTAATTTTTTTCGATGCAGGTAATGGGTGCCTTCTTTTCTTATCTTTTTTATATTTTGCTGTTGGAAATTTTACCGTCATAGGAGTTCCTTAATTACCTGTTGATAGATATGATCCGGCGCCTGGCAGACATGGCAAATACTCAATTTATAACCACAACATTCCGGCCAGAGCTTGTGAAAGTTTCTGACAAAATATATGGTGTTGAACATAAAAACAGGGTGAGCCGTGTCAACGTTGTCTCGAAGGAAGATGCATTGGACTTCATCGAGCATGACCAGTCTCACAATGCAGAGTAAAGGTTAGGACAAGTTTTGCATGTACATTTCATTGGTATTTCAAGAAGTTGATTAGGTTATTTTGGGTACATGCTACAATTCCTGAGTCTTAAAAACAAAAACATAGACAAGAAAATAAGACCTTGAGTTCTTTTGTAATTGTTTGCACTTAGTAAAGTAGGCTTGCAGCCGTCTGTCATTTTATTCTTATATGACCTGTTTCAGGATCTGAATTTTTTTTTTTTTTTGGGGGTCCCTCCAGCAAGGCTCGATAAAGAACGATGGATCAATTTGCATTTTGTTAAATTTACACACTGATAGTGGAGTCAGATCTTGTACAAAGTAGGTTTTGCTGCTGTAGATGCTGAACCACTAGCGTTATCCATTTGCCGTTTGTTGTATAAGATTGCATTACTCTTTAAGTATGAACCATGGGCACATAATACTTGTAAACCATGGATGCCACTTTGAACCTGAGAAATTGAATTCTGTTGTTGGTACATATTATATAATCTAAAGGAAATTCAGGTTTACATGATGTTTCTGATTTTGTTTGCATTCTCCTTGGAAAGCTTTACAAGATGTTTCAACACCCCTAGTTGGTAAAATGTGTTTGGACACTATTTATTTTTGTCCCTGATTCTAGCACAACCAACTCATATGAAACGTTGAATTACAGATGTACGTTGCTGCACAAAATAAATCATGCAAATTCATTTGAGCACGTTTGTGCAAGCATATATATGTATGTATATATATATATAAGTGAATGACGATTAATAAAAATTGTTCTCTGATTAATTTTGACCCAGTTGGTAAATGATCAAGTGAAACAAAAAGTTTGAATCTCTGATAAAAAAAAGTAGTAGTCCTGATTATTCAGGAATTTAATCGAATCATATATTGTAATCTCATATTTCCTGCTGTTCTCCAAGATTTGACAACGAGGTGAAGAAATAGATTCATCATTCTTCTCCAATCGATTCCTAAAGGAGGGAAAAGAGGGTTAGAGTTAGCAGAGGGGGAAAATGAAGGGTGTGTATGTAATCTTTGCAGCTTATGAGTGTTCCTCCACAATGAGATGTGGCTTATTGAAGCTCAGTTCGTCCCCTAATAACTTCATGAGAAATACTTCTGTCGCCAACTTGGCAAAACCTGCATTCAGAGTCCGAGTAAAGCAAAGCAAAGGCCATACAGATGAGACAGGGAGGATATATAGTGATCACTGGGTAAGGGATAAGCCATAGCACTACCCTAAAACCTCCATGCTCATGACGAAATGTACCGCTAGCTCCAACCAGCCCCCGACATTCTTCCGGGAAGATGGCAAGCTCCATTAAAATCTAGTATCTAGTTTGTAGTAGAGAGCTCTATGAGGTGCCCTAGTTAGTAGCTAGTGCCACCCTACTGCTTGAGTTAAGAGCTAAAAACTCATTAAGTTGATCACAAGACCAATATATGGCCAAACCCTCTACCACTGCAAACCGAAGTTACCGTTGGGCCATAGCCAGCAAATTAACCATCTCCCTTTCAATCTAATTCCCTAAACGTTAGTGACTTGAGTAAGCTTTAATTCATTGGGAACCATCATGACTCTCATTTTGATTCCAGAAGGTTTGTACGAGCAATTTGATGGAAATGTCTGATTCTGATTCTTTCTTTTAAATTATTTCTGACTCTTTCCTTTACTTTCCTCCGTTGGGGTTTTTTTAAAGGCAAAATTTTAACGAGGCCACATTTTTGCATCCTTTTCATTACTACTTGTTTTCGTTTTCTGTTGAACGAAGTTCTTTCCTTTTGATAAAAAAACAAAAAAAAACAAAAAACCAAGACACATTGGAGTCATGGGAGTTGAAAGACCTGAGTGCAAAAACTCCAGATATGCAAATAAGCAATAACAAAGTAATACCAAAAAAACAAAACGAAAGGAATTTCCAAAATTGTATGGCTGAGCCATTCTGCCAATCACCACCAGCTTATTGGCATGAAATGAGAAGACAAGAAAGAGAGAGGATATAATAACACTACTAATTCGCCCGACCTGGCTTAGCGCCGGGATCATAATTTTTTTCACCAAAATTCATAGGGAGCTGATCTACTCTCCTGAACCAAGTCCTAGGAAGCTTTCCAGTGAATCCATAATCACCATACAGAACATCAGCCACTCCTTGGCCTTCAGTTCCAGGCAACCATGCAGCCACAAGAGCATCCATCGACGAAAGGTAGGGCTCAATCACAACTGGACGGCCGGATACTACAATAACAACACACTTGACCGCGCCACATACGTTGGTGATAATGCTTGGACCTGGTTCTGCAATTGTCAAATTTATGCTGTCCCCTTTTGTCTCAGCGTAAGGAAGCTCACCAACAGCAACTACGGCGTAATCAAACTTGTTTGCCTTGACAAAATTTGGGTCAGGATTTAAACTGAAGACAATTTCTGTGGTCTCGTTCACTGCACTTGCTATGGCACCTAGGATGGTGGTTCCTGTTTCAAAAACAGGATCATGAGTTTTTTATTTATAAAGTATTTGAAAACTTTATTCACACTCCAAAAAAGTCACCGTGCAATCTTTCTGTATCACACAAATGAGAGAGTGAACCATGAACAGAACTTAGAGACACAGAGCAGATATATATAGATGTGTATATATATATATACCAACAGTGTGGTTGTTGCCACTAACTCCCTGCCAAGTAAGACTCCAACCACCACATTGATAGCCCAAATTGTTGGCATGAGTTCCAGCAACTAAAATCCTGTTGGCCATTTTAGGGAGCGGCAGCAATGGTGCAGTTGGTGTTTTGCCATTCTTCAAAAGGACAAGTGACTTCCTTACAGCTTCCCTTCCCAAATCTCTGTGCTCCTGGATTTGATCATGAACAAAATTCATTTTAGGACCTCAATAAAATTATGTTATTGGTTTCATTTTTCTAACTCAAGCACAAAATTCTTTTTAGAAGCTCCAGTGTGAGTGATCAAAACCTGGCATCCAAGCCGGGGAATATATTCATAACTAGACATGGGTTTTTCAAACAGACCCATCATGAACTTGACTGACAGAATTCTCCTAACTGCATCATCGATACGACTCATGGGAATACGTTTGTTGTTCACATGTTCAGTTAGAAACTTGACGAAGTCTATAAAATTGTAGGGAAGCATGATCTGTAAAACATTACAATGCAGTTCCAGTATCAGAAGAGTGCTCTCTTTTTTATTAGGTTTTTTCTTTGCATTGATAAGATAGCAACTGACCATGTCTAGACCAGCTTGAATACTAAGAAGGACTGCGTTAGAATAATTTGTAAAGGGGGGATTGCTTATTTTGTCAACACCCAGCCAGTCAGAGATGACAATGCCCTGAAAATTAAGAACACCAGCATGGTAGTTAGTGCTTCATTCGTGTCAATTTATCGAATCTCATTCTATAGTAGTCTCACAACAAATTTGAACTGAAGAGTGTTCTTGACAAGTTTAGATAAATGAAACATTGCCACATCATTTTGGTGATCAAAATTCGATGCATAAATTTGTTAACCATAGTTCTCTTCGAATTTTAATGAACTTTACCGTTGCTCTGTACCTTAAACTTAAGGGTGTCCTTGAGATATTTGGTGACGAGGTCATAGTTAGCGTGCATCTTCACTCCGTTCCAGCTGGAGTAGGACACCATGACAGTGGCTACACCCTTGGCTATGGCTTCGGGATAACCAGGCATGTGAATGTTCAACAATCCTTGCCAATCAATGACAGTGTCATTCTCATTGATGCCCTTGGTAGTGCCGCCGTCACCCACATAGTGTTTTGCAGAGCCCGCTACCTTATCCCTACATATATTTCATAAAGAAAAACTTTACGGAGAGGAGAAAGGTAAGAATGAGTAAAACATTTGTGACATTAAAAAGTTCATCATCTAAACACACATATCAGTTTTACTTACGTTCCACCGACGTAAGGAACGCCCTTTGGTGAACCAGCTGGAATTTCACCTTGCAATCCGATTACGAAATCAGTCATTTGTTTAACGATATTCGGATCCTCGCTAAAACTCTCATAACATCTACCCCATCTCGGATCTCTGCAGACCTATTCATTGTATACATCATATAAGCTCCAAGATTTTTTTTTTCTTTCAAGTAGTCTGGGAATGGGATAAAGACCATTCCATGCTTCAATTACTAGAAAACCATTGCAACTTCTCTCTAAATTAATTGTTCAATGAATGGAAATCATACTGAAACACATGGTGCAAATGAATACTGAATGCCAGTAGCTCTAACTTCAAGAGCAGTTGCAGCACCAATTCTCTTCACAAGTTCTGGATCCCTGAAATTGTCATATACAATTCGAAACATCATTACTAGCACAAGCGATGAGGGAGGATGGGAAAATGAGCTAGGATTTACATAGGTAAGGATTCAATTCTCAAAGCCATTTTGATTATACTTGTCATCAATGTTTTTTAATTTTCCTTCTATTGGTTTTGGGTGTGGATGCATCAAAGAATCACTTGCCTGGTAGCTCCAAGTCCAACATTATGCGGGAACATTGTGGCCTTGTAAACGTTATTGTGGCCATGAACTGCATCAATGCCATAAATCATAGGGATTCCAAGCCGGCTTGCAAGTGACCAGTTCTGAAACTTGTTAATCATGTCTATCCAATCCCGCGCAGTAGCCTGCGTTCGCGGCACACTCTCTCCACCACTCAGTACACTGCCTATATTGTACTCTTTCATGACCTTGGCTGTGATATTTCCGCGGTCTACTTGCGCCATCTGGCCAAGCTTTTCTTTTAGTGTCATCCGGGCTAGAAGGTCCTCTACGCGAACATTGATTTTCTCTTTAGGGTTCTTGTATTTCATGTGCTGTCCTTTTATTTTTACTTTTGTCCCTTCTGCACAGCAGCAAAGGCACACAAGTCCCACTAAGAGGACTAATGAATTTGTCATCATCCTTGGAATCTCTCTATTTAAACCTGTAGAAGTAAACATACTGAATTTCCTGATGTAAACAAAAAAGTTATCAAGGTATACCACAGAAGGAGAAGAAAGGTATTTCTGGTTTTATTAAAGGGAGAAAAAGACATCCTCCCTTTAAATCAAATATTGCCAGTGAGAATTCCATTCACTAACTTAAGGCCAAATGGAGGAACCTATGTAAAATATCTCCATGCGAACACCGATACAGGATGAACAAAGCTGTTCTGGACACACTCAAACAGATCAACTTTAATTTCTTCTCATGCATTGACAGAACTCTAAAAGAAATTTATAGTAAATAACAACATTCCTTTTTATTTGAAAATAATAGAACTTACGAAAAAAACGATTGATCATGGGAGCATCAGCCTAGAGAAAGGAATTCACAGAATGGATGAACTAATGTAAAACAGTACGTGAACTACACAAATGTAACACTGGCTAATGAGGTGGTATATTTATAAGAATTTATAAGTGGAATGACCCAAAATAGCAAAGATATTAATATTTAAGGCTTTACTTGTAAGAAGGAGCTACTTGCGGTCCTCCCATACATTCCTCAGTCCCCGTAGGAGTGGGCAAGTACATTCTATTTCTACTTACATAATTATTTTCATAGAATTTGAGGTTGTTTGAAATAAATAAAGGGCAACGAAAAGAACGTTAACTAAATAATAGAAGAAACTCTGTCAACAAGAAAGCAGTTGACGACCAATATGTCAATATTATACTAAATAACCGACTAAAAAAACGCAACCTGAACTAGATGCAGCTCATGAGTTAAGGATCAAGGGAAGCATGAATGAATAGAAGGTGTTAACTTCTAGGAACTTTCGATAAGTTTTCTCTGAACTTGTGGAAGAGGGTGATGAAGAACCTTTGCTCTTATTAAAACAGTATGATCAGCTCTCTTGTACACTCAGATCCTGTATATATATACCGTCCTTATCAATGTCATGTTCTCATATTCAAGAAAATGCTATATATATATATATATATCTGTATATATAGATGGTTGTTATTGTGGTAACCAAATTAAATCAAAACCCTAGGTCAAATAATTCATTCCATTTGGGGATTATTTGACCTAATTGGGAATTAATTAATCTGATTGGGAGTTACTCAATTTAATTGGGGATTACCCAATTAAATTGAACGTTTTCTAATTGGGTTAAAAATTGATTTGGTTAATTACCACGATTCCCAATTAAATGAGGAGTTACCCAATTGAATTAGGATTTGATTTGATACCTACCACAATTAGGGATTTGATTTACCTTAATAAATCAAATCCCTAATTAATCAAATCAATTCCAAAAAGGGGAGGAAAAATTCCCTTCCATCGACGGAATTATTCCTCTGAAACCCTAGCCTCCAAGACCATTATAAAAGCATAGCCACACACAAGGGTGGAGGTACGTCTAAATTCCTACTGAAACTCTGCAGAAATCATTTCTCACAAACCGTAGCCACCACTTTCTTTCTCTCCCTTACACAAGGCTCCGGCCACCACACACGGCTCCGGCCACCCGGTTTTCCTTGAAATACCTTACCTAACTTAGGCATCGGAGGGCCTTTGGCCAACACCCCCCGGGTGTGGTCCTTTTAC